TAGTTGATCTCTGCCCTAATATGTATGTATTATTTTTCTCCTCTCTGCTACTAGTTGGTTTAGTTTGTTCCTCTTTTTCTAGTTCCTTCAGATATAAAGTTAGGCTGTTGATTTGTGTGTTTTGTTTTTTTTTTTTTTGGAGGTGGAGTCTTGCTCTGTTACTAGCTGCAGTGCAGTGGCATGATCTGGGCTCACTGCAGCCTCTGCCTCCTGGGTTCAAGTGATTCTCCTGCCTCAGCCTCCCGAGTAGCTGGGATTACAGGAGCCTGCTATCACGCCCAGCTAATTTTTGTACTTTTTAGTATAGAGATGGGGTTTCACCATGTTGGCCAGGATGGTCTCGATCTCTTGACCTCATGATCCGCCAGCCTTAGTCTTGCAAAGTGCTGGGATTACAGGTGTGAGCCACTGTGCCTGGCTGTGATTTTTTTTTGTTTTTCTTTTTCGTTTGTGTGTGTGTGTGTGTGTGTGTGTGTGTGCTGTGAATCGGATACTAACATGTAAGCTTTTGCTGTTATAAGCCTCCCTCTTAGTACTGCTTTTGCTGTGTCTCATAAATTAATGGTTTGTTGTGTTTTTGGTTTTGTCTCTGCATATTTAAAAAATTTCTTTGTAATTTCTTCCTTGACCCATTGGTTGGTTGGGAGTGAGTTGTTTAATTTCCACATGTGTGGATTTTCCTGTTTTTCTTCTGTTACTGGCTTTTAGTTTCATTTCACAGTGATAAGATAGTTGGTATGATTTCAGTCTTAAATTTGTTCAGACAAATCTACCTTTTATATAATTTTAATGTGTATCTGAACTTTCATAATTTAATTTTGAAGACTTTTCTGAATTCTTAGTGTTTAATTTTCTAAAATATGTTCATGTCTCTTCAGCATATTTAAAATACTTTTGAAAATTAATAGACATTCTCTTTTAGAAGTTTTAGATTTGTAAAAAATTTGAGCAGGATAGATAGTGTTTCCATATTCTAACCACCCCCTCCAACGGCCGGTTTTCCCTATTATTAATATCTTACATTAGTACAGTACATTTGTTGCAGTTAATGAACCAATATTGACACATCATTATTAACTAAAGATCATGATGTATTCATATTTCCTTAGTTTTTACCCAGTGTTCTTTTCCTGTTCCAAGGTATTCGAAGATACATTATGTCTAGTTGTTATTTCTGCCTAAGTTTCTTAAGACTTTGTTTTTGATGACCTTATAAGGTTTTTGGTTTTTTCTTTTTTTTTTTTTTAATACCTTAACAGTTTTGAGGAATATTGGTCAGACATACTGTATGATCCTCTGTTGCAATTTGTCTGATGTTTTTCTCTTGATCAGACGGTGGTTATGGGTTTTTGGAAGGATGTGTTGTACTTGACTTTTTAGTATTCAGGTGTTTTCATAGAATCCTGCTTGAAGCAAAGGATTGCTTCAAGTGGTGCCAACTACTTTTAAGTTTTAGCCTCTTTTTTTTGTACCCATCTCCTACTTATGTAGTATTCCAATTATGTTTTTTAGGTGTAGATTTTAAAGTACTTTCTATCATAATTCTTTGTAAAATCCTTTTTAAAAAATATGTTTACTTGCTATTATCAAAAAGACAAAAGATGACAAATGTTGGCAAGGATGTGGAGAAAGGAAACCCTTGTGCACCTTGTTAGGAATGTAAAATAAAAAGCCATTATGGAAGAACAGTATGGTGGGTCCGGAGAAAATTAAAAATAGAATTATCATATGATACAGCAGTCTTACTTCTGGGCACATATCTAAAGGAATTGAAATGAGTATGCTAAAGAGTTATCTGCAAGTCCATGTTCATTGCAGCATTATTCACAATCGCTAAAATATGGAAGTAACCTAGGTGTCCATCATTGGATGAATGGATAAATGTGATATATATGCACAACAGAATACTATTCAGCCTTAAGATAGAAAAAATTCTGTTATTTACAACAACATGGATGAACTTGGACCTGGAGGACATTATGCTAAGTGAAATAAATGAGGCACAGAAAGACAAATAACCACCGAATCTAACTTACATGTAGAATCTAAAAAAGTTGAACTCATAGAAGTAAAGCGTGAGATGGTATTTACCTGAGGCTGGGTTGGGGAGTGGATGGGGAAAGAGATGTTGATCAAATGGTACAAAGTTTTAGTTAGGAGGAATAAGCTTTAGTGATCTATTACACAGAATGAAGAAATATAGTAATAATGTATATATATTTCAAAATTGCTAAATGTAGATTTTAAGTGTTTCACCACAAAAAAAAAGTATGTGAGGTGATGGATTTGTTGATTAGCATGAATTAATCATTTCACAATGTAAACATATGTCAAAACATCACGTTGTATGCCATGAATAGATAATATATACAATTATTTGTCAAAAATTAATAAAATACAATAAAGTGTCTAAAATGTGCTGGTTTGGTTTGTGAGGAACAAATGCAGTTAAAAGGTTTTTTTCAGATTTTGGATGGTAACTACGAGCAAAGCAAGATAATATTAAATAGCTTAAGTCGAAGTTTGTATGTATATGGTGTTTGTATATGCCTTTATTTTTTATTTTGGTAAAATACGCATAACAAAATTTACCATTTTAAAGTGTACAGTTCTGTGGCATTTAAATATGTTTATATTGTTATGTAACCATGTATAGTTTTAAAATATGCATTGGTCCACTAGGATTGTCATAAAATACTACAGACTGGGTGGCTTACACAACAGAAATTTATTTTTTCACAGTTCTAAAGACTGGAAATTCAAGATTAGGTTGTTGGCAGATTTTGTTTCTCCTGAATCTCCCTTTTGCAGATGGCCTGCCCTCTGTGTGTGCATACCTGGTGTCTCTTCTTAGAATGACACCAGTCGGGCTGGGTGCGGTGGCTCACGCCTGTAATCCCAGAACTTTGGGAGGCCAAGGTGGGTGGGTCACTTGAAGTCAGGAGTTTGAGACCAGCCCGGTCAATACGGTGAAATCCTATCTCTACTTTTAAAAAAAAATACAAAAATTAGCCAGGCATGGTGACGTGCACCTGTAGTCCTAGCTACTTGGGAGGCTGAGGCACAAGAATCACTTGAACCCGGGAGGCAGAGAGTGCATTGAGCTGAGATTGTGCCATTGCACTCCATCCTGGGTGACTCCATCTCAAAAAACAAAACAAAAAACAAAAAACAAAAAATTGACACCAGTCTTATTGAGTGAAGGCCTCATAAATTACCTTATTTAACTAGATTGCTGAAATACCCTAGCTGTAATGTCATATTTGGAATCAGGGTTCAATATAAGAAATTTCGAGGTGATCCAGTTCAGTTTATAACATCTTTTATGTAAGGGTGCTTCCAGTTTATCTCCTTGAGAAGCTGCCATCTTCAGTATGTTAATTTTCTGTGGTTGCTCTAACAAATTACCACAAACTGGGTGGTTTAAAACAATAGAAATTTATTCTCTCACAGTTTTGGAGGCCAGAAGTTCAAAATGAGTAGTATTGGGCCAAAATAAAGATGATAGCAGGGCTGTGCTTTTTCTTGAGGGAGGTTTTAGAGGAGAATCCATTCCTTGCTTTTCCCTGATTCTGGTGGGTGCTGGGGTGCTAGCTTTCCTGGCTGTGGCCCATGTCCCTCCAGTCTTCAAAGCCAGCATTTTAAACTTTCTCTGCTATGCCTTCTTCTTTTTTGGAGACAGAGTTGCTCTGTTGCCCAGGCTGGAGTGCAGTGGTACAAACTTGGCTCACTGCAACCTCTGCCTCCTGAGTTAAGGCGATTCTCCTGCCTCAGCCTCCGGAGTAGCTGGGATTATAGGCGCATGCCACCACACTCGGCTAATTTTTTAGTAAAGATAGGGTTTCACCATGTTGGCTAGGCTGGTCTCAAAACGCCTGACCTCAGGTGATCTGCCCACCTTGGCCTCCCAAAGTGCTGGGATTACAGGCGTGAGCCACCCTGCCCGGCCTCTCTGCTATTTCTCACTGCCTTCAGTGTGTGTCTCGTTCTTATAAGGATACATGTGATTGCTTTATGGCCCACCCAGGTAATTCAGAATAATCTTCCCTCTCTCAAGATTTTTAATTTAATCGTATCTTCAAAGACTTTTTTTGGCCATATAAAGGAACATTCTCAGATTTCAGGGATTAGGGCGTGGATATCTTTTGTGGGACCATTTTTCAGCTTATTCTGCTCAGTAGTTTATAGTAGACTTTTAATGTTCTTGCTTTGATTTTATAGTTTAGTTTTTAACAGGCCCTTATGTCCAGTTCTGGGTTGGTGGGAGTTGATGGCATCTCATCTTTTCTAGATACTATGCAGATAATTCTAGGTCTGTGGTTCCAGGAAGACAAATCAGAGATGATAGTGAGTCTGGAAATAAAACAGTTGAAATATTTTAGCTTGAGAATGGAGGTAGGTACGGTGGTGCTGTTTTTTAAAGAATAAAGAATTTAGAAGGATCACAAGCTAGTTTCAGGTAGGGGAAGAGGAGATGTGTAGAATTTGGGGCATACTCAGTTTGCAGAACTTCTGTAATATAAAATTAGTAATGGTAGGTATATTTTTGGCAGATACATTTTCAGTGGATCATTGGCGAAGTCACTTTGTACTAGATTGAGGATTAAATTGAAGCCGGAGAGTACTGTTATTGTATTCTCTAGAATAATGATGCTTGGCATTTAGTAAGTACATGATCAGTATTGGCTATTATGATAATTACTGTTAGTATATAGTTTTATGTGTTCCAATACTATAACATTTTTGTCTTCAGCTTTTTGGTGTATGTCTTGATACGTACGTAATATTAGATAAATATTGATTTAGAAAGGTATGTGTTTTGTTAATAAATATTTTAATTACTGCCATTGCCATGCTGTTAAAATTAATGAAAACAAATTATTGTAGAATTTTTTAAAAAAAATTAGAAAGTTTTGATTTCTCATTTGAATAGATTATTGTTTCTGTAGTTATTCATGCCTGAAACAAAAAATTAAACATTGGTCTTTGTATTCTTTCAGGTTTGATTTAATTTTGGATGAGATTGTTCTTGCAGCAAGATGTTAATAAGACAAAATCTAGGTAAGTAGAAGACTGCTTTGTTAAATGTACCTATCAAGGTAGGAATAATATAAAAAATTTATGTCTTAAAAATATGCTGTTGAGTCCAGAACCAAAGAGTTTTTAAATAAAATTTTGAGATGCAAATAACTGACTTTCAAACACACTTGGTCCAATTGATTTGATGGGAGTAAAATTACAGCTATCAAATTGTGGAAATAAATTAGTTTCCTTCTTTTATGTTCAAGTTAACTAAAGTATTTAAGTTTCCAATGACTGTTATAACATGTTAGAAAATCAAGTTGATGTTTGGTTCATCCACTCTTAACTGAACTCTCACCAGTTCAGTAAGACATTATTGTGTCACTTCACTGTTCTTTCCTTTGTTGATAAAGTATGTGAATAGTCATTGCTTTTGTGAATTTTGCTTTCTTATTATGGTTAAGGAAGCACTTTCCCAAATGGGTTGAGTTTGCCAAATTGTGATTTCTTTCTGTTAACATAGTATTCAAAATTGTAAATTATTGTTTTAATGTTTTTCTAGTGTGTGTCTCCACTGAATGACCTTTCCAATTTAGCATTCTGATTAGCTTTCTAAGGCTGTTCGCTTTCAAAAAATTGAATTGGCATTATGTACTTCCTGTCTGATATGTGAAATAATGCTTTTTAGCAATGTAAGCCATTGACAGGTTTAAAAAAGGCATATTTACTGTTTATTGGTAAGTGAATATGGCTTCAAAACAGAAACATGGGAAAAAGAATACTGAAAAAATTGGAGTTAACTTGGTTTTCCCTCTAACCAGATGTTTCACCTGTCAAAAATTTGCTCATCTCAATGTTTGTTAAAGAGAAAAAAAGAAGTCTAGGATGAAAAGTGCTGTAGTTCAGTAATACACACTTAAGGAAATCTCAGTCAGTGGTTTGGGCATGCTTTGAAGCAAAATTTTCCTTTTACTGCTATTATGTAATATAGTGGTAGTTTGAAGAGCACTTACTGTGCTTTAAATTCTATTAAGTGCTTGTCATACCTTATTGATCGTTACAGTACCTCCTGTTTGTTTTATAGAAAAATTTTAGTTTTTGCTTTATAGTAGGCTGTTTTTCTTTAGGAAGAATAATTTACTTTTGTATCATTTATTAGAAATAACATTTGCCTATATATCTTCTTAAAGTGAAGAAGAAGCCAGACTTTTATACTTTAAGGTCTTATTAGAGATTTGTTTTTTAGTTGGATATACAGTGTCTGTTAGAACTTTTGTTCTGATTTTCTATGTTTGCTATTGCTTGTGGGATGACAGTGGTTTAATTTATTCAGACCTTATTTTCCACCACAGTTATATATGTATTTATCTTTTTTATTATGGTATTTATATATGTGGTAACATAAAATTTGAGGTATAGAGCTGAATGGCTTTTTACATGCACATTCATACATGCAACCACCATCTAGATTAAGATATAAAACATTTCATTATTTCAGAAAGTTTCTTGTGCTTTCCCCACTTCCAATCCAGTAGGCTTTCCCCGTGAAGTAATCATCTTTCTGAATTCTGTCAGCATACTTTAGTTTTGCCTGTTCTTGGATTTTATATGTAGTATGTACTCTTGTATCTGGCTTCTTTCATTCAGCATAATCTTCTTGAGTTTCATCTGTGTTGTGAGTATATTAGCAATTCATTATTTTTTGTTGCTGTTTTATTTTTAATAATATTCCCTTGTATGAACACACCACAAAACATTTATGTTTTCTCTGTGATTTGGTTTATTGGCTTCTTCACATCTCTGTTCCTACTTGCTAACTTTTCTATACTCCTTTCATTCTTCTACCTACCTCTGTTGTTGTCCCCCATCACCTTTGGAATAAAATGTAGTAAATTCTATAATATGGCATGCAGTTATCTCACTGTAGCTATGCCAGAATGCTGAGAATTATATGAATAAACTAAGTGTGATGTTTCATATTACTAGGTCCAGTCCCAGGTACGTGTTGTCATTTTCCCGCAACCCCATGCCTCCCCAATTGCCAGTGCCCTCTCTGCTAGTCATCAGCTTATCTTCTGAAATAGCCTATCTGAAGCAGCATCTGACCAGGCCTGACCATAGTTTAAACCAGGCCTGACCATAGTTTGTCTTCTTTATTAGACTATGAGTTTGAAGGTAGATACCATCCATGTCTCGTTTATCTTAGCACAGTGTAGGGGATACTGTGTGCATTCAGTAAATGTTTGTTAAACATAGATCAATGAAAAAGGTTATTTTCTCTCAGGCAAATAGAGATTCAGAATGCTAGCTGGATTGGGTTGGGGGCATTGCCACTTCAGTTGCTGTTAGACCATAGGAAGGATCCACTGAGGACAATCCAGAGACAGCATTATAGACATTTTAGAAAGAGAAATAAAGTATTTCCCAAGTGTTCTTTCAATCCAGTTGAAATTAAATGGCTAGTAATGTTCTTAGTTCACACCTAAAGTAAGACTGTCATTGTTGATTTTGATTAGTATTTCCAAGTGGAGGTATTAATCCATTTTGCAGAATTTTGAAGTATTTGTTATGAAGAGTATTTTCTTTGTGGATTTGTACTAGTTATTTCTTTAAAGACTTTGAAAGGTTAGTTATATTAATACAAGCAGAAGTTTGGGAACACAGGTCACGTGTATAAGAAGTGAGGAAAACTTTTCCTCATTTCTCTGAAATTAAAAAACTGTTAGGATGGAGGAAGAAATTCTAGAATCATAACCTGGAACTATGATAACATTTTTTATTCCCACAGCTTAGGAAGCTTGCTATTTGTTGAAAGTTATTTAAAAATTTTTTTATTATTGTACATATATAATATAACATTAACACCTTAAACTTTTTTTTTTATTTTGAGATAAGGTCTCACTCTTATTGCCCAGACGGGAATGCAGTGGCGCGATTTTGGCTCACTGCAATCTCTGCCTCCTGGGTTCAAGCAATTCTTCTGCCTAAGCCTCCCTAGTAGCTGGGATTACAGGCATGCACCACCACACCTGGCTAATTTTTTTTTTTTTTTTTTTTTTTAAACTAGAGACTGGGTTTCACCATGTTAATGAGGCTGATCTTGAACTCTTGACCTCAGGTGATCCACCCTCTTTGGCTTCCCAAAGTGCTGGGATTACAGGTGTGAGCCAGTGCACCTGGCTGAAACAGTATACTTTCTTAAGAAATAAAACACTTATTAAAATTTAAAACATTTTGACTACTGTGGGTTTTTTTTTCCCCCTGTGTTTGAAATTTGGCTAGTTGGGTTGGCTATAGTTATCATCTGGAGATTTTTATGTCTGTAACTTGATTGCCCTCTAGCAAGTCCAAAGCAAAAAGAGGTTCTTCCCCACTGGGATCAATTTGTTGCTTTTCCTTTCTGCAGCTCCTGCCATAATGTTTGAACACAGAGTTGGACATTGACCTTTTCTCATACTGTTCCTTCTGTCTTCCCATAAGGATTTTCTTAGACATAGACTCTTACCAGATGTAGAACCTTGGTTCTTTTTTTTTTTTTTTTTTTAAATACTGGATGTGCTTAGTCTTATTGTTGGTTAGAGTCGAGGAGCCAGAGAAATTTAACTTTGAGATTGCCTAATGTACATGTCTCCAAAAAGATTTTAGACTAATTTTTCTTCTCAGAGGCTGCTAGCTGTACCTCAGTTGCAGAGTCTTCCTCTTTATTTTGTGCTTCAGTATTTCACATAGGCAGCTGCTGCTAAGCTTTTTTATACTGCAAAATCCCTGAATCCAAGGATTTCAAGTACTTTATGGATATTCATCTTAGATTAATTTCTCTAATTTCTAACTTAAGCTCTCTGTGCTTGTTTCTTTAGTAGCACTGTAGATGTGCTGTCCTTTATTGTAGCATGAAAAAGAAATTTTTTAATAAATAAAATTATTTGTTCTTCATTCTAGATGAGATTGTACAATGTAGATTGACTCTTTCCAGAGTATTGCCAAGTAACATATAGTATTTAGTATTTCACCTTTTATTTCAGACAAAGTTTTGCTTTTGTCACCCATGCTGGAGTGGTGCAACAGTGCAATTTCCGTTCACTGCAACCTCTTAGGTTTACACGATTCGCCTGTCTCAGCCTCCCTAGTAGCTGGGACTACAGGGACATGGTAGGTAGCTAAGTAGCTGGGACTTCAGCCACCATGCCAGGCTGATTTTTATATTTTTAGTAAAGACAGGGTTTCACCATGTTGGCCAAGCTGATCTCAAACTCCAGACCTCAGGCGATCTACCTGCCTCAGCCTCCCAAAGTGCTGGGATTGTATGTGTGAGCCACTGCACCTAGCCACATTTAGTGTTTTCAAAATTAATTTTTTAATAAAAGTCACAGGTGACTATGTATGAGCAAATAGTACAGCGATGTTAAAATAAAAAGTAAAACTCTTCCCTCCCGCCCAGCACTGTACTCCCCATAGTATATTTTACCAAAAATAGCTGGTATGTATTCCACATCTTTCTCTTTCTGTTTATCAATACATTTTGGATATTTTTCCATGTATGTACCACATTTAATATAACTCTTGCCCTATTAATATTTAGGTAAATCTCAGGATTTTTTTTTTTTTGCCTGTATATAAGTACTGCTGCAGTGAGTATATTTGATGATACCAGTGGGAATGTGTGAGAATGTCAGGATAATTTGTAGCAGTAGATTGCTGGGACAAGGATATGTGCACTTGAACTTCTGATAAAATAAAACTGCAATGAGATTGTACCACTTAATATTCTTAATGTTTATGAGAATATGTTTTCCCATATTTTGCTAAATAATTGTTTTATCCTTGCTAGTCTAATTGATGAAAAGTGGTATTTATTTTACTATGCATTTTTTAAGTTGTGAGAGTGCTCAAAGGTTTGAAATATCACCTTCATTACAACTTAAATTTCATTGGAGAACATATATGAAAATTTTTATTTTTTACTGTTAAGTCCATCAGTCCCATCAGTTAAAATACCTCTGTGTTTTAGGTTATTACAATCAAAGTTATTTAATATTGAA